ACTTCACGTGTCCCTTCCTTAGGATTCCACGACGACCTGGCCAAGTATCAGCACTCGAGCAACACGTCTGGAGAACGCGGTTCGCTTGGAAACAGGCCTCCTCCAGATACCCCAGGTGCTTCATCGCCGAGTGAAGGCCGTCTGTCGACAATCTATGAGGAAAACGAGGAACATAATATCGAAGCTATGATGCTGGAAGAGTGGTACGACGAGCTACGTATGGACCTTCATCCTACGACGACTACCGACGATTATCTCTACTGCGTCCCAACAACCATGCTGCCCGACCTCTGTGTTTTGGTTTCAGCATCCGTGGACGAAGAAGATATCGTATTATCGGACACGCTCGGAGACGAGCCTGAAACACGAGAGCCCTGTCTAGTCTCTCTCTGCTCAACCACACCTGACGAGAGCTACTCTCTCGACAGTGATGAATATGGTCCCTACGTTGAGTTATGTTTTACATCAGAAATGTCAAAGGTAGTGTTGGATCAGACTCAACTTGCACAGCTCGACACCGATATGGCCGCGACGATGAGAGTATATGTATCCTCTGCTGCTAAACGTGCTGTGGTAGTTAAAGAAGATGACCTACTCACCAAAGCCGACATAGCAGCACATCCAAAAGAGGTTAGTGAAGCTTTGTACACTGAACTCAAAATCTGGATTGACAACCGATGCTTTGAGATGTATGATTTATCCAAAGCTTCCAACAGCATGACATCCAGGTATGTATATAAGTGGAAGTTTGTAAAGGCGGGAACCGAGAACGTTAAAACCATTCGTCTCAGACTTGTCCTTCGTGGATTTATGGATACTCAGGCTTTCGACGTGGAAACATTCTCGGGAACCGCCCGAAGGCAGTCCCAAATACTCCTGGCAAGTGAGGCGGCATGTCATCCAGAGTGGATCTTAGCATCCGTGGATATCGACAAGGCGTTCCTCAAGGGTCTGACCTATGAGGAACTTGCCCATGCCATCGGCGAGGAAACTCGCATGGTTTGCTTCATCCTTCCACCGGGAAGTGCCCAGGTACTTCGTACACTACCCGGCTTCTCATCCTATGACGAAAGCCGACACTGCCTCAGGTGCCTCAAACCAGGAACGTGCACAAAGGACGCTCCAAGAGCGTTCTCTCTCAAACTTCGTACGACCACACGAGCTATAGGCCTTCCACCGACCAGTTATGATCCTGAATTTGAATTCAGCCAAGATCTGCTAACGGCAAAACATGTCGATGATATTAACATGGCAGGCCTAGAGAAAAATATGGACGACTATGTACAGCGCGACGAAAAGGTGTTTGGCAAATGCAAGCTCAACAAACACACATATACGAACTGCGCCGTTCGCTACACTAAGCATGATCAAGGGGATGTGATCATGGATCAGGACGAGCATATCAAACAACTACGTCCTATCACACACCCAGAACTTACAGGGGCGGCGGCCGATGCCAAAGCCACGAAACTCATTACCGACATGCTCGTCAGCTTGCGAGGAGCCCTCGCCTATGCCCTTCTTACTCAAATCTGGCTCATGGTATACGTGGTCTCTCCAGAGAATCCAAGAGCCCACCAACCTGCAAGTCAGACGTCTGAATGCTGTGACGCGAAAGCTGATCAGCAGCCCGAAACGCATCACCTTCCCTCGGATGAAGCCGACGAATGAAGTTGACATACACAGCGATTCGGGGTATCGGAAGCTCACCGGGGAGGAGGATGATGAGACCATGGGCTATGGCATACGCGGGGCTAATGTACTACGGCGAGGAAACTCGCCTCAAGGCAAGTCCGTCGTTCACCTCTGTGACGGACTATGCAAATCACACCGACTGCAGGTGAGGTCCAGCTATGCTGCGGAGGCGCTCGCAGCTGCGCATAACCTCGATGAGTGTTACCCTACGCCCATCACTCTCCACGAGCTCAAGGCAGGAGCTCTGACTCCACGACAACTACGAGATATGCGTGAAGTTGGAGGCCTAGCCATCAAAGTATATCTTACCATAGACGCTGAGTCCGTTTATAAATCATTATCAAGCAAGGATCTTAAGATACCGACAGAGCGGACTCTGCTTGGACATATCAGTTGGATACGTGAGCTCATGGATATAGGTATAGTACATAACGCGCAGTGGTGTGATACTAGGGATATGGCCGCATATGGGCACACAAAGGGAAGCATCGATCGGGAGCTGCTTCTGGAAGTGATGTCAGGCACTCAGTCATTCAAGTATGACGTGAAGCAGTTTGTTCCCTTTCGGGGCCCCGAGGACAGCAACAAACCCAAGTCTAATCAATGTTAGTCTGTCCTTGTTGCCCCCGCGGTCCAATTTGCCAGCATGGGCGCCTACTACAGAGGCGCCCTTCTAGTTGCTCAGAAACGAGCCTTACATTTCACGCCTGGCAACGAGCCGGCTTCATATGACTCAGGCTCTCTGCCTTAATGCCTATTTGCTCGGTGAGGTATGGCCCGTTTGGCTTACCTCTAGCTGAGCCGATAGCCTTTCATCGTTCGAAGGGGCTATCTTGCATTCGCGTGAAATGGTTTGCGAGGAAACTCGCCTTACAGTCTGGTGTTAGGCCAGACTGTACACGCTGTTTTCTTTATTGCAAGCAGTTGTGCGCGCGGCCTTTGTAGAGCCTAACGGCTGCGCGGCTATGCTCTCCGTCTCCTCCCCTCCCGACTTTATGGGTAGCTCTTTGGGAGATGTTACAGCATCGGGAGCATAGCCCGCGCGCCGTTGCCTTTGGCTCAAGGCACGCGCGCCCTATTTGCCCGGACACTGCTTGTGTTCGCTATGTGATGGAAAGATCATTACATCGATCTTATCTTATCCTATCCGTCCATTCCTCTTACTGAACCACCTCAGTACGATACCGGACGCTATTTGCCATCCGCTTCCCATGGAATCGGATGTTATTTGAATTACCAGGCTCACTTTCGACTCAGTGTAAACCCAAACGTCATCGACGAAGTTGGAATCAACCCTCCGTCCAAGCTCCCTCTTGATTGGCCCCATGCTGCGGTTCATTTCCAGTAAGGGAACTGCTTCGTTGGAAGACAACCGTTTGAAGATCTTGAAGCATGCCAAAACATTGTTCTTTGGATTTCAACGCCACGTATCAACATGACTGCTGCGTCTTGACGATCCGGAATCGTGCCAGAGCGCCACCTATGGGATTTCAACATCGCGAACCAACAGAACTGTTGCACCCGCATAATCCTGAATCCTGCCCCCCAAAAACGATTTTCTGGCACGTTGGTCATGGGACTCCGTGAAACTCTGCGAAGTTTGAAAACGAATGTGCGCGGCGCTAGGGCGAGAGCCACATTTTGAAAAACACACCCAGTACATCGTTTCGTGGCCCCCTCCCTCCTCTCTGCGTGTCACCCACCCAGTACAGCGCTTCGTGGCCCCAAAAAGGGACCCCACCGAATGTCCCAGTGCTACCGTCCGCATGCGTCCCGCACACCCAGTACAGCGTTTCGTGGTCCCCTCCTCCCTCCTCCTTGCGTTTCCCCCACCCAGTGTAGCGCTTCGTCGCCCCATAGGGAGCACCACCGCAGGTCCCATTGCCACCGTCCGCATGCGTCCCGCACAACCAGTACAGCGTTTCGTGGCCCCATAAAAGGGGACCGCACCGAAGGTCCCAGTGCTACCGTCCGCATGCGTCCCGCACGCCCAGTACAGCGCTTCGTGGCCCCAAAGGAGGCCCACCGACGTCCCCAGTGGGACCGTCCGCGTGCGTCACGAAAACCCAATTTGGCATTTTCGCCCACCCAGTACAGCGCTTCGTGGCCCCATAAGGAGCTACCGCCCCCGGTGGGACCGTCCGCATGCGTCCCGAAAACCCAACTTGGCATTTTCACCACCCACCCAGTTCACCCACCCAGTGCAGTGTTTCGTGGCACCATTTGGAGCTCCACCTAAGCAAGCCCCCAATGGGACCGCCCGCATGCGTCCCACACGCACCTAATTTGGCGTTTTCACCCACCCAGTACAACGTTTGGTGGTCCCATAGGGAGCTCCACCGACGGCCCCAATGCTACCGCCCGCATGCGTTCCCCCCCACCCAGTGCGGCGCTTCGCGGCCGCACGGGGAGCTTCACCGAAGAAGATATTCACAATTGCGATACCCACAATTGCATGTGGTTGGGTCTTTCGCCAGGATAAGTTTCGGCTCGCTTCAGGCTCAGCCCCTCCCCGTCCATTTAAGTAAACTTGCCCGAATAAAAAAAAACAGGCTCATTAAGAACGAGGTCGGTTCGGCGATGGTCTGTTCTCTTTGTTTTGGCCGACGGAAGGTCTCATGTGCTTAGAGGATGTAATTATGGCCTGGGTCTGACTGTAGGGGGAGGGGGAAGGCCTTCTTAGAAGCACCACTGCTTCTGAGAAGGCGCGGGCCTTGTGTGCAGATGTAAGGCTGGCGCCTACTAGGAAGCAGCCTCCTTCTAAGAAGCCCTTCCCTCTCCCCCTACCCCCTTCTGCGCGCCGCAAAGTGTCGGGCGGGGTTAGGCCGAGGAATTCCAGAGCGCTCCAGAATGCTTTCAGAGCGTTCTGGAACGCTCTGAGAAGGCCGCGGCGCCCGAGACATCCTCCAGAGTCGCCGAACGATGTGGTGGCATCCTCCGAGACATCGGGCCCCCGAACGGTGCTGTGACCACGCCGTGTGGTGAGTCTGTGGGGATTCGTTCGATAATGACAAGGAACCCATACCGCTACGTTTAAGTCGGGCATGTCCCTCTACAGGAGGAATATCCCACAGTAGTAGGAAATAGTATGGTGACGACTGTTTGGCTCTTTTGACACATGACAGTTGTTGACCACTTTTTAATTGTTCTTCCACACTCCGCCTGTAGAAGGACATGCCCGACCTAACGCTACGTTTTCCTCGGTATCCCCTTCTTGGGGCATCTTGGGAGGCCCTCGTCACCACCGCCGGATCTGAGGCCAGAGAACCCTGCGAGCTCCCCCCAGCCTCCCTCCGCCGCGAGAGGAGCTGGGACACCCGGCCCCGTCGCCGAGCGTGCCGAGGGGCGGGCACTTCAAGTATGCGAGCGAGGCCGACGCCAGTTGCCCCGCCACACGCGGCTGGCTCTATAGCCAGATTTTTATAGTGGGGCACAGCCAGTCTTGTATTTGAGTCTCCCCGCATTGCCGCTGAAGCTATACGTGAGGCTGGCCGTTGACATGCTTCGGGTTGGCCTTGCTCTTGAATACCTACAATCTAAGCGTCCAAGGCCCTTTTCGATCAGATCGATCCGGTGCGATACAGATTTCGGCCAGCACGATCCGACTTGACTCAGATGGTCCGACGTTCCGATGCGGCCCGATGCCTGGGTTGCGCTGCGGTGCATGCTGGCGCGGCCAGTGTGATCCGATTTGGATCCCGATGCAGCCCGTTCTTATCGGACGGGATTGGGACGAGGACAAATCCGTTCCAGAGCACTCCCGAACGATCTCGGAGCGTTCGGGAACGCTCTGAGAGGGCCGCGGCGCTTGAGACATCTTCCAGAGCCGCGGGCTTTCCGAGATCCTCGATTTATCCTCGTCCGACTTATCCTCGTCCTTGCCTAGTCTGATTTACTCGGCCACCCTTCTTAGAAGGCGCTGGCGCCCCTTCTAAGAAGCGTGTGGTTACTTCTTGGAAGTTGTTCCTGGCGTCCTTGTAGTAAGCGGGTGGCTTGCGCCTGATAAGTTGTTGCTGCTTCTAAGGCGCCGTCCAGTTATTCTAAGAAGCTGCTGGGGTGCTTCTAACAAGCGGGGCGCCCCTGGCTTGTTAGAAGGGCGGCCGGCGCCTTCTAAGAGGCAGGTTCTTCCTAAGAAGCCTTCGCCCTTCCTTCTACCCCCTTGCGCGCCCCGTTAAGCTCTGACGGTTCGATGCGGCCCGAGGCTTGCATGGCGCTTTTGTGCATCCTGGCGCAGCCGATCCGGTTCGATCCCGACTCCATGCCGATGCAGGCCGATCCGATGCACGATTCGATTCGACCCGATTTCCCTGTTCGATGCTGACTGATCCTGCCGTTTCCTCCATGTGCGAAGGCCTCTGGCCCCCCCCCGCCACAGGAGGGGACCAGCGCCTCTCAAGCATTTTGATGCTATGTATGCGTCGCCCCCACGCGCGCGCGTCCTCAGGCCCTGCGCCCGCCGAGGACCCTCATGTATGCTATGTAAGCATTTTGATGCTATGTATGCTGTGTATGCGTCGCCCCCAAGGGGCGACGCGCGCGCCGAGATATCCTGCAGCACGTACAAGCTCCGTGGCGGGGCGTTTCCTGGCCATGCTGCCCGGGAGACGATGTGCCACCACACGGGTGTGGCAGAGGCCCGGGGCGGGCGCACGCCTCCGAGCAGGACGCATGCCGCTGGCAGGTCCTCCCTCTGCGCGCCATGGCCTCATGGCCCCCCCCCCCGCCGGGATGGGGGGAGCGGGGCCCGTCGGGCAACCTGCGGCTCTGGGTCCTGGCGTCGATGTGCCCGTCGCCGGCCATATGCCCGAGCCCCCCTCTCGCGCGCGGGCCCCTCCCCGTCACCCCCCCTGCGGTGGCGGCGGGGGCGGTCGGGCGCGGCGCAGGGGGAGGTGAGTCAGGTGCACCTCTGGCGCCCCAAATCGAAGAAAAAACGACGCCATAAACATAACCTTTTGGCGCTCCGCGCGGATTTCTTGGATCTGCGCGGGGCCCCCCCGGCGGCGCCTCCGGCGCCGCCCCTGGTGCGCTCCGCACACAAGGGAGAAGGGTCCAGCGCGGATCCAAGAACTCCGCGCGGAGCGCCAAAAGTTTACTGTTTATGTCGTTGTTGTTTCTACTCAAGGTGCAACTTTTGCGCGCTAAATCAGGCGATCGCAAACACGGATCCAGTGGGCGTGGATAAGCGACGGGTCCCGCTTCCAGGGGAGATCGGGGATTTCCGCCGCCGAACGCGGCGGCACCGGCCGCACTTTGGGGAGGGCACCTCCCCCGATCCATGGATTTGACGACCGCGCGCCAAGTCCATGGATCTCTAATCCATGTTTGCGCGCCACCGGCCAAAGGGCCCTCTCTGGGGCCCGACAGGGGCACGACAGGTGCGTGTTTCCCCCCACACACACCACCCCGTTCCCCGCCCCTTCCGGCAGGCAGCGCCCCGAGCGGTTGTTCCTCGAGCAGTGGACGGGGGCGGCCACCGCTGGTTGGGAGCCGTCTGGGGGGTTGAGGTGGCCCAGCGCTGGTTCCGGCCAGCAGGAAAGGGTGAACAGGTGCGAGATTTTGGGTCGGAGTCCAGGGGGTGTGTATACGCCTTCCTGGCTTGCCTGGAGAAGGATATGCACCTCGCCTGGGACCAGGATAGGCCAGGCATGTGCAGTGGATCTGTGTGGTCCAGGGTCTTGGTCCCCAGCCCCTTCCCTCATGATGATGCCATCGGGCCCCCCCCCCGTGGGTGTGGCGTGGTGATGTGGGTGTGGCGTGCGTGGCGTGGTACTGTGGTGCTCCAGGAGAGCTCTGGAGGTCGTCGCCGCCGCCGCCGTCGTTGTCGTCGGAGGGGCCGTTTTCGGGCCCCAGGACCGTGTAGTATTGATGCGGGGCGAAAAACTTAACCAAACGGACCCCTGGAGGGGGTCTCTCTTGAGCGACTTAGAACGGATTTTTGCCTCTTCCCATTTCCCTAAACCAACTCAGTGACCCCCCCTGGCCCCCTCCAAGCCGTGCGGGCAAGATTGACATCCAGATCCACGGCGTATTGCATTCGTTGGGATCCCCACCTGGCCTCGCTGGAGTCAGATCTCTACGCGTGTCCGCCGCGTCTGCGGATATTCCCAGGGAGGGGGGTGCGAAAATCCGAGGCGCAGTGGACATGTGTACACACCCAGCCCGCAGAAATCACCGTCCACCAAACCACCCCAACCCAACCCGCCCCCATTTGCCCTCCCTTTCCAGTGTGGGGGGGGGATCGGGGAAGATTTAAAGGAAAACTCATGAACCCAGACCCCCTCGAGTAATGAAAAAATCACCACGGGAGGTTTTTGTTGCCATGTTCGACATTTGCGGGCCCTCACGGGGCCATCAGGATCGTCAAACACCGACTCAGGATGAGAGACCGGTCCCTGGGAATGGGTCCAGACCTTTGGGGGCCGACGTAATGAACAAATCATGACGTCGGGGGTCTGGGAAGCCCGTACCCCCCCACCCCCAACCCGAAATTCGGAGCTTCGGGTTGGGTTGGGGTGGTCTGGTAGGCAGTCAAGAAATAGGAGGGTCCACACCTGGAGCCCCAGACCCAGCCCTTCCTGCGGCCTCCTGCGAGCCCGATCGCTCTGTGATCCGCTTCCAAGGAGGACCAGAGGCGTTCCGACGACGGGCGAAGCTCGGAAACTGGAACGTATACGTGACCAGTGGCGGGCTGTGGTTCAATCCCATGACACTTCTCTCGGCCTCCCAGATAGGGTCGGAGTGGATGGGGTCGAAGGATCGCGCTGCATCGCCGATGCATCGACAATGCGGCTCGATGTGGGGCCGACTTTCGCCACGCCGGCGGCGCAAACGCATCGCCCACATCGCTGGTGTATCGCCAATGCATCGCCGATGCACCGGCGATGCGGCGCGATCCTGCGACCCCATCTACTCCGACCCCATCCGGGAGGCCTCTAACTTCGAGGGTCGGGGACGACGTCGGGGTGGTGTGGTGTACACTTTCTTGTGTTCGTCTCCCGGGGGGACAGCGAATAGTGAAAAGACACCAGGGTCCCGATCACATCAGGATCCGCTTTCCTGAGTCAGTGTCGGTGCAGGGCCGGAAAAAAGCGTCGGTGTGTAGAGTCGGGCTTCAAGAGACGGGGGTCAATGCAAACGGGGGTCAGTCAGAGCGCCAGATCTTGCAGTGTCCTGCAGGGCCGGGGGTGCAATGACCCTGGTCTGGGTGCAGGATTCTGCGGGATCTTGCAAGGATCCGTCAAGGCCTGACTGACCTGGGATTGGATTGACCTGGGTCAGTAGATCCCTGAAAGTGTATACACCAGGATCCCATTATTTTATACCAGGATCCGTTTTGTTGTGCAAGTGGCGGTGCAGGGCCAGAAAAAGCGTCGGAGTTCAGAGCTTGTTACCTCGGTAGCAAATCATGGGAGGTTGGTATACCTTCTTAAGTCCGTCTTTAGCGTCGATCAGCGTTGGGGAGTCGGTGAGATAGCGCCGATTTGCCGTCGGTTGGCGTCGACTAGCGTCCAATTCGCGTTGACTACCGTCGATTAGCGTCGATTCGCACGAGCCGACAGGATGGTATGGGAGGGCAGCGTAGGAGCGCTTAGCGCCGACCAGAATTTGGGTTTGCCTAAGTTTTTTACGTGCCCGTCCTGAATGTTTGCGGTCCAGCTTTCTTGGGATGTTTGCCGCAGGAAGTCGCGTCAAATTTCAGATTGGGTTTCGTCATTTTCCTGACAGCACCGTCTGGCCAACCGGGTCTCCCGAACCCGAGTCTCGCAGCCGATTTTTCTCCCCCAACCCCAAATTTTTTCGACGAAAATTGGAGCTCAGAATAAGCGGGGAAACCTTGGGATGCACCCCAAGGGGGGCTATTCGGACGCACCCCATATCGAGGATGGACGCACCCCAAATCGTACCTCCCCGGCTGGGCCCCAAAGTCCAGGTCCATTCGAAAACCTCCCAAAGCATGGGGTAGGTGTCGACCTACAGTGGAAACCCATGCCAAGAAACATCCTGCTTGCCTCCAGGGTGCCCCGTGTTTCTTTGGTTTCCATGGTTTTGCAATGAAAAGCGTGACCTCCCCATACCAAAAGTCAATGGACGTCCTGGGGTTCCAGGGTTGGGTTTCTTGTGGAAGGTTTCTTGTGGACTGGCCCTCCCTGTTTGGCAGCGCGCACACGGGGGTAGCGGTAGGGGGGAAGGCTTCTTAGAATGAGGTTGCTTCCTAGAAGGCGCCGGCCTTACATCTACAGACAAGGCCAGCGCCTTCTAAGAAGCAGGGGTGTTTCTGAGAAGCCATTCCCTCCCCCTACCCCTCTTCTGCGCGTGGCTGAACTGTATTCCCTTTGGAGTCTTAGAGCATGTTTGTCTAGATTCGGGCAAGTTTGTACTTGCATGGAGGGGGGGGGTGCTGAGCCAGAAGCAAGCCGAAAACAATTTGACGTGTGGAAATCACGCAAGTCGAAAGGCACTTACACGCCCGTATTCGATAAAGTGGGAAATTGAAACATATACATTACCAGTGGCGGGCTGTTTTTCAATCCCAGGGCCTTTCGAGGGTCGGGGACGACGTCGGGGTCGTGTGGTGTACACCGGTTTCCGCATTTCCCAGGGGAAACAGCGACAAATGTCTACGCAAGGATCCCGTACACACCAGGATCCGCTTTCCTTGTGCGAGTGTCGGTGCGGAGCCGGAAAAAGCTTCGGTGTTTAGATTTCGGTTCCTTCTCATTGATAAAGGGGGCGAGGGTGGGGGGGAGGGACGAGGGGGGCCGAACGCCATGCAAGTCAACTTGCCTGGATCTGAAGAATACCAGGCCTTCTCGTCCCTTCCCATCCTCCGTCCTCCCTCCTCCTCCTCCTCCCCCTCCTCCTCCTCCTCCTCCCCCTCCTCCTCCTCCTCCTCCTCCCCCTCCTCCTCCTCCTCCTCCTCCTCCTCCTCCTCCTCCTCCTCCTCCTCCTCCTCCTCCTCCCCGACTGCGAGGAATCGCAGGCGCGCGGAGAGGGCCGCCGCCGCCCCGGCGCGCGGAGAGGGGTGGGGGGGGCTCGGGGGCGTGGCTGCACACGGGGTCGTACGTGGACCTGGCGGCCGAGGCGCCCCGCGGGGCCGAAACGGCGAGGAGGGCGACGCGGAGGAGGAGGAGGAGGAGGAGGAGGAGGAGGA